ACACTGAATTGGTTTACTCTCTAATCTAATATATTGCACAAAATACTTATTAAAAAATTATTTTTTAATATTAAATTAAAAATAAACAAATTTAATAATACAATTTCACAAAACATACAAAAACTAATAAAATTGATTATATTTATTTTATATTTTAATGACTAAACTGGACAAGTGTTAAAAAAATTTGTAGAATTGAGAAGAATACCAAGTATTTTCCTTGATTATATTATGAGTTTCATTACATGCCAAGCTGATTATTGGTTAAAAAAATTGTCCCAAAATTGTCCTAAAAATTTCCCAAATTTGTCCTAAATTTTGTGTCAAGAGTTATTACTGGATATAAAATACTACCTTTAATCCATTTTACTTGTTGCACTTTTGTTTTGTACAATTATTAAGAAAATTACAAAGATCTATAAAAATGTACTTATTATTAGTTAAAATTTTATATTTACTGTTATTAATAAGAGTATTTGAGAAATTTAAATGTGTTTTTTAAGAAAGTAATTATTAATAGAGATAAAATTGAAAAAAAAAAACATTTTACTTTTAAGAAAATTTTAATACTATGTTAAAAATTAAAATAGACAAATAAATTAAACGATCCTTTCATAATGAGAAGTGAAAAGCAAAATGTACCCAAAGGAGAGAATAACGTGAGCTTGCTGTTGAGAGGGATGTATTAAATATGTCTGCGCCCATTTAATCATTTAATAAGACAAATTAAATGTTTAGTGTTTAGTTAATTAATTTTAAGAATGTCACTTAAAAAAGTAATTTTAAAAATGAAAAATATTATACTCTGTAATAATTAAACTTGAGCAATGCTAGGGGCACTCGCCTCCTGCACTCTCCGGCCAGCACTTTCCCTTTTATTGGACCACGTTATGTTGGTTGGCAAGAGGCTGCACCTCAAAGCCTAAAACGGGCTTACGTGGCCCAATGAAAGGGGAAGTGTTTGCTGGAGAGTGCAAGAGGCGAGTGCCCCTAGCACTGCACACTAAACTATCCATCGATGGTAGTGAGAGAGCCTTAACTCAGGACGTGAGACCTAGGAAGTTAAAATTCAATCACTCTATTTTTCAGTTATTCTTCGACGCAAAGAAATAATAAAGATGGCTTGGAAAATTAAAAAAAATAAAACAATTTAATGACATACCTGTTCATTGAAAAGTGGCATGTGCCTGCAACTTTTGTTGAGACTACTCAGTTTTGGTAGACGTTGCAATCTCAAGGACCGTAGCTCTTCCCCGAACTTCAGTTCAGTTGCTTCAACAATACCACTCCTGCTCCCTTGCTCTTCGTCATCAACAATCTCTTCCATATTGCTGCAATCTGTCACTGAAATTTTTTGTAGATGGAGAAGCTGTCTAGCTATAGAGGAAGAGAACAAATTCTTTACCTTAGGACAACATTCAATGGTAATAGTTCTTAAATTGTTAAAAACTGCGTCTCTGAACCGGCGTTGAAATATCTTCTCCAAATTAATCAAATCCTGGAGAAATAATACCTCCAAGCTAGGAAATGCAATGAAAGGAACCCCCTCCGCTATATGTTGAACCTCTGGAGCATTATGGACATTGAGATACTTCAAATCTGGAAAACCTTCAGTATTTAACTCATCAACCACATTCTTTACACCTGCCAACTCACTTAGATGTAGCTCTTCAGTCATCTTCAACAACATTTTAACTAAATAGTTAAAACTAATGGACGCATTTAAATGCAACTTCAATATTCTGGAGCTTCCAAAGGAACTAGACTGGTCTTCCCACTTACATCCAATGAATATTTTGAATTTTTTCAAATTTTCAAAGAACAAATTTTTTGGGATCATCCGAATATCAGGAATGCATACCTCCAAAGTAGTTAATTCCTTCAAATGCTTCAACTCCGCAATGCTCGCATTTCTTTGATTTTCATTTTCCTCAACCTCCCATCCATCGAAGCTGTTTCCCAGGTACAGTTCCTCTAATCCGGACATATTTGCCAAGACACATGGGGGAATTATTTTGAGTTTAGCAGAGTCACTCAAATCTAATAACTTTAGCCGAGTCAGCTGCCCAATTTCCCCTGGAAGCTCTTCAAAATCACATCGCAAAAGGCTAAGAATTTCTAAATTCTTCAGCTCTCCAATAATACGTATGTCCCCCAACACGCTTTGATCCAAACATAATGTATGGAGGTTCTGCAAGTGGCAAATTGATGAAGGCAGGGATGACATATGCATGTGAGTCAAATCCAATACCTTGAGTCTTGGCATTCCCTTGAAAAAGTTTGCTGGAATTTGCAGAGCACTTTTATTAGCCAACCGAAAGAGAGTAAGACAGAAGCTTTCTAACTCTTCAGGTAACCAATCAACATTAGAATATCGCAGACAAATCCATTTGAAATCTTTCCTCGTCTCCATGTCTGACCACTTCCTTGGTAGATGGTCCCCTGTTAGCAGCAACCCACGACGATCCCTACTTGAAATTGATACAGCCACATCATGAACAAGGTCATGCATATCGAAACAATTATTGTCAGAATCATCAATGAGCAAAGAAGAAGCTCGGAGCTTGCCAATCAAAGTAAATACTTCATCTCGTGCTTCCCCTATGGTGTTAGCAAATAAGCCTAGGCCTACACCATACTTCAACAAGTCTTGAATTGAAGCCTTGTGACCCATTAGGCAGCAAAGCAAAAATGTTTCCTGCAGCTTCTCGCTTTCCAAATGAGAGTAACTGACCTCAATAGCTGAATAAACCTTTGCAGGTATGCCATGGAAGTTTTCTGCAGAGGGCGTTCTTAGTTGTCTCAAAGCATCTCTCCATTCGTAAAGCTTCTTATTTTTCAAAGCCTTTGCCATTGTTGTAATTGCAAGGGGCAAGCCCCCACATTCCTGGACAATATCAAAGGCTGGACCATGTATGTCATCACCCTCTGCTCTGTCACCAAGTATCTTTTTAAGCAAGTCCCATGCTTCTCGAAATTCTAATTTATCAAGTGAAAAGTTCTGTGAAGAACCCATCAGATCTGATAAAACATTAGAATCTCTGGATGTCAGCAGAATTTTGCATTCGACATGTTCTTCTCTTGACGAGCTCCCCTCTGCATGTTCTTCTCTTGACGAACTCCCCTCAGTCTTTTTTGGCTCGTTTCTAAGAGGAATTCCAAGTTCCTTCAAATTTATTTCAGACTCCCAAACATCATCAAAAATGATTAAAACCTTCTTCATTTTGTTCAGCCTGCCTTCAATACGTTCAGCAGCCTCCTTAGTTGAAATTTCATTAGGAAGCTGATCTAGACCCAAGCCACGGGCAATTTCAACTTGAATTCTTTTCAATTCTGCATTCCTTGAGACGAGAGCCATACCTACCGCATCGAACAGCTTCTCTTCCTCTGCTTTTCTTTTTACTTCTTTGGCCAGCATCGTCTTCCCCACGCCAGGCATCCCGTGTACCCCTATAATGCTGCTGCCTTGACTTTGCAGTGCCTTCATGATCCTCTCTAGAACATCCTCTCTTGAGGAAAAGTCCTCGAATTCTTTGACACGCGGAGGCACTTCTTTTGGTGGAGGAGGAGTGTGGTAAAGTGGGAGGTTGAATCCACGAGCTTCATTTACAAGATCAGCAATAGCCTCGGATTTCTCCTTGGCTTTTTTGCTGAGTTGGTAACGAGATTTGGGATTGAGACACAGCCCAAAGAAACACTTCTTCTTGGCATTTCCTTCAGCATCAGCTACTAATTGGTCTGCGTCTTCAATGCGATCGTTGGCGCTGGTCTCCCAATTCCTGACCTTTTGTGCAATCTGTTCCCCTCTTCTGCCAACAGCTCCAGCAAAGTTCTCCACAGCCTCTTTCTGACCCTTCAGCTCAGCAACTTTGTTCTTCAAATTGTCAACATTATTGTCGCACTTGAACACAAGAATAATTGGCTTTGAGATAAGAGTGAAAATTCCACTAAACAAGTACCCAACAAAATTTGCAGCAGCATTCTGACAAAACGAAGAAGGGTCGGGCATCTTCTAATTC